TTCTGGATGCAAAACTTTCATTTGATTCCAACAAAACTTTCACCATTGTATATTCAATTGCTCACAGAGCTGCATTTATTTTGATTGTTGGTGCATTCGATATTTTGATGAATGGCAGTGAATGAGTAACGAGTTTGTTGACAATGTCACCTAACCAATCCATCAAACTTGTACTACTGAACGATACCTTTATTTCTCAGGTATGTTCCCATGCTGCAGCATAATTATCTCTATCAAACATGCACACACTTCGTAAACTATCCGTCGATAGCGTTATGTGCTGCTATAACGCATTGTTGAACACGATGGAGTTGCAAAACATCAATTATTTATGCGGTTTAGCTATTGGAAGACTTATTACAGCACTGTGTTGATGCTTGGATATTGATCTGTGCTTATCAAATTAGCAAAAAAATTTCTGAAAAATGTGCTTACAATTAGCAAATTTACTGACAATTAGCAAAAAAGTTTTTATTCTCATAACTATTATTGTTCACATGTCATCTGTTATTCATTTATCCATCTGTTTATTCATTTCTAACTTATTTGTATTTTTTAACGTATAAATTCAATTATGCATCGTATTTACTTATTCTCTGCTTGCTGTGAGGCCTTATCATCAGTTCAGAATCGATTAATTCATTGCTTTGTTGAGATTCTTTGCATGAGCAAACGCTTGAAATAATGCTCATTCGTCGATTACACGTTTTCAGTCTGGTTTTCTGAAATAATCATTCGATATTAAGAATTCAAACAACACACTCCTCTTCCATGAAATTCAATTGAGGCACAGTGCCGTTTTCTTTATGGCGTTTTCTCTCTTGCTTTTATCAGTTTATTTCATCTCTTCATGCATTTTCTGATTGTAATATCGCTCATCTGAATTCGACAAGCTCATCTGCAATACAACCAACCACTTTTTGCAGTTAGAGGTGTACCCCATCAAACTAGTGGAGCCAAAATGCCAGTGACCAATTCAAAAGTATTCGCAGTAATCACAGGTCTGTTGAACTTGACAAATTCTGACTTTAAGTGAGCGATGTAAAAATGGCTATTGACTTTTATATTATCAGTTTAATAGTTCGAAGAACATTTCGATTGTTTAAGGTGCCAGTCGTGGAATTGGAAAAGAGATTGCCGTACAGCTGTCGAGAAAAGTTGCTGCCGGATCTGTGTTTCTGATAACAGCACGTCAGTTGGCACTTCTGCAGCAAGTAAAAACTGAGATTCTGATGAAGTACGTCCCAGAATCGCATATTAACACCTCAAAACATAATGACACCTCAAAAACTTCAAAACTCTCTGTTCCTCCTATCTATTGCAAGCATTTGATGTGTTCTCTGTGATTATAACTGATCCATCATTGTATATCAAATGAATGTGAAAGATGCGCTTGCAATCGCACTTTCAATTCTATCTTCTAAATTCAGTTCTCCAAAACTAACAATAAGGAAGAAGTTCATGATGACCCAATTGTACGTTTGGAATTATGCTTAAACTTCTTCTTTTGAGAACTTTTCTTCGGTAACAAACCAAAACTTGAACTTTCAGTAATGCTCAGCTGGATGTGCACGTTGTTGTCGCTGATGCGGCTTATCTGACCGATGAGAAGTTGGCTGAATTTGGTGACGTTTTATCAGGAGCGATCCGTGAGTTTCACATTTGAAATGTTTCATCACTCTACAGAATCTGTGCGTTCAATTTCAACTTCTTTGCGAGATGGTCATCATATTTCAGCGAAAGGAACTCACTTCGATACGTTGATAATGGTGCATAATGCTGGCACAATAGGTGATCTATCAAAAAAAGCACAAGAAATAAGCACATCAAAGGAATGGCACGACTTTCTGCAAATCAATCTTATTGCCATGATCCAAATCAATAATCTTGTCTTATCTAAACTTACCAAAGAGGTTTGTCTTCATCTAAGATTTCTCCTGCAATAAGCTTCAATTTCCAACCGTTTTTCTTCGAACAGAAACAAAGAAACTTCTTTTGATTTTATGGTTCACTGTGGAATCGACGTTCTCCATATCCACAATTCCGTTGACTGATCCCAAATGTATTGCTTAGCGAATAATTGCAATTCGTTAAATCATATCATTGATGCTCGAAAAAATAATGCGAACCTCCGTCAAAACTCATGAACTTCCAACTGCTATTATATTTCCTCATCTTCAAGTATGCCGTCGACAAATTTCAGCTGGTCAAACAACGATTGATTGTGAATATTACATCGCTGATGTCAGTCCAAGCAGTTCCTTCGCTCTCACAGGTTTGTTTTCTCTCGAGTTCATCTTCAGTCACATATAAGCAGTATTCACATCACCTTTTCAGTCACAGCTGTCAAAAATTTCAGTATTCGGTAGCGAAGGCTGCTCGTGAAGCTTTCTTCCGTTCGTTGGCTGTCGAAGATCCATCTCTAAGGATTCTTTCATATTCACCTGGACCAGTTCAAACAGACATGTATGAAGACATCTTGCAAAAGTAAGTTTTTACCGTTAAGCGGAACTCGTGTTCATTAATAACTCCGATCACAATGCGTGCTTACTTGATCAAAAACTTATGGTAGGTTCTAGCTCGACCGGATTCAAAGCTGGTCCATTCTTTCAGTACTTCGATCAAACTCAACATTTCCATTGATTTACTCATTGATTCTACTATTTTTAAGATCCTCATTTCCTGAGGTATGTGCTCCTTTCACTGCTGTTGTTTTCAACAGTCAGGTTGTTTCCATCTGAAGAGCATGATTGTATCGCTCTTGTGTGAACTATGATAAAAAAATGAGAAACGTTCCGCTTTCAGTTCATACGATGAGGGTGTGCGCAATATGTTCCAGCACCGTGATCCCGTGGTAATTTTGACTTATACTTCATTATTCATTTGCTTTACGCATGACTTTGCTGATGAAGAGGTGCAATGTTCCGTAGAGTCACTTTCTGAAATGATATGAAAGTTAGTTCGCGTAGTATGTGTACAGAATGTTTCATCATATCGTGAAAAATAATGATCATTTGTAAAGATCCGAAAAAACTATGAGAAGAACATGGAATGTGTTTTGATACAGTACTCTTCAAAATCCCATTTTCGATCAATGAAATAACTTCGATTTCAGGTCTCCCGAAAACTTCTCGAGCCCAAAGAAACAGTGTCGAAGATGTTCTCAATCATCGAGAAAGATCAGTACGAAAGTGGTGCTCGAGTTGATTATTTTGATGTCGACGTTGCTCCCGAAAAAGAATAATGATTAATTAATTCGTTTTTAGCATCAATTTTTGATTGGTAATAATAAATAAAACAGTTTAAAATGAGTTCCGTTCTTGTGCAAGACTGAAATAACCATTTTTCATAGTTCTCTGTGAGACTCGAAAGAGATCGTTTCATTAAACAGTTGTTAGTGATACGCATAATTTGGTAATGGCGGATGAGCATTCAATGAACTCGAGAGAATTAACTTCAGTTTGATGAGTTCCAAATATTTTTGCATACTGCGTTGAACATTGACAATAAGAGTGAAGTTTTTCGATGGAAAAAAATTGAAAATTCGCTAGTAACCAAACGTTTAGTCATTCATTATGGGCACATAACCGTTTAAGCAATATACTGATTATACCATTAAAAATTACACTAAATTTTTACGTTTTGATCTGNTAACTAATAGTTTCTTTTGGAATAATGTTAAGAAAATTTAAACGTTTGCATTTGGTCGTTGGCTAAGGGCATTTGATGGCAAAACGAAGACGAGTCATTCAAGAGTCATTCAGTGAGATTAATTGAAACGTCAACAATCAATTGGCATTCTCAATCAAAGATAATGAGATTTCTAAGAGGATCTTCGTTCGTTTTTGTGCGCTCTTCCACTCACGAATCGCTTCCTGCTGCTACTGCTGCTGATGTTGCAACGGAAACAATTTATACAGTGGATGAATGCGTTCATCTGAGATGCCTCTGAATAACCAAATAGCATATTTCTATACATATCTATCGCTAATTCATTCTCTTCAACAGATTCCTAACCATACAGCTATATCATAAAACTCTTCGAATTACCGCAGATGCAAATGTTGCTTAATTTTGAAATGGAAATCAATGGCAGCTTGCACAATTAACAATTAATTCATTGACAAGGGAGGACAGTGCTGACGGACAGTTGGAGCTGTCTCGCCTATTCTTCTTCCAGCTGATGTACTATTTAAGTGCTATTAGTCTCCTTCAAATCATTTTAATTCCCTTAGTGACGACTTGATGATTCTTTATGAATGTCCAAAGAGTCACTTCTTTGTTCGATGCTTAATTCTTCAATAAAGAGGTTACTGTTTAAGAGAAAAACGGAATATTTTGATAGAAAATCACCTTTGACTCGGATACAAATTACGTCTTTCAGTCTTTTATATAGGTGGGAATCAGTAATTTGCTGCAAATGTCTTGCTTAATTTATGAATTGCTGGGCACCTGCAGCAGCCATTTTTTCATCAGTCAGGCAACTTATTACAAATTTGAAAAAAGGAGAAGTTTGTGTTGAGTGTCATCGAATATGCTGAAAAGTACTATGAATACTACGAGCGTTTATCGCTGTCACCAGGAAAACAGTGGCCATTTGCAGGAATGTTCTCGGAATAACTGAAGAACTAGCGCAGCATTCATTAAAAATACCTAATTGGCTGAGGTGAACACATAAATCGCGAGCAGCACAATCGTATATTACAGCTGATCAGTGAACATGTGCTGTTTTTTCGTCTATTTCTTGAGACTTATAATGTGTATTAAAACGATATCGTTAATATTTATGCGTGATTGATTCAATCGTAGAAATAATCAATCTTTCAATAGGCCAATCTTGAATTTTTGAAGATTCTCGGCAAGAATGCAATCGAGTGGGAGGCGGTTCTCGTCTCATAGTAATCACTCAAAGAGTAAGTGTGTTTAATATTGCATCCACCTATTATCATCTTCGTGTTTTGTCAGCAAATATTTCATTGTTTACGTCAAAAGTTTCTCAACTTCCATTGGAACAACTGCCTGATTTAGTTTACTTTTAAATAACATTGTTACTTTTAAATAACATCATTACTGCATAAATTTTAACAAGTTTTTATTCAAGACTTTCTTTCATCGAGATGTTCTCTCGCTTAGTGAGCCAGTCCCATTCAAGCTCATCTATAAACCATCTCAATATTTCTTGANTTTCTGATCGTCCTTAGAGCAGTGTGTTCTTTTGGAGGTGAAAGTTGTGCAAGTCGAATGAGTGGCTCAGGTTCGTTCTCGTATTCGCTGAACAGCACCAGTTCAAGCTCGTCACCGTCACGGTTCGCGTTCGGTCCGAGAGGAAAAGCAATCACAAAGTCACCATCAGCTTTCTCGGCAAACGGTTTATCACTCAGTATTTAGTGACTCTTGAAGCACATTCCTCCATGCAATTCTCCCTCATTCAAATAACTTCCATCAAATAACCTCTATAACATTAGCTTTAATGAAATAAATGTGAGCAAAGCATTTGTATGCGCTAATCCAAAAAACCAATCAAAATCTGAATAAATCTCACCAAAACAATGATCATTTTTGTAGAGATGAAGAAAACTTCTCAACGACCTAAAGCGATCGGCAATCGTAACAGTCGATCCCATTCTCGAATGCGTCACTCTCGAACCACCGACGATGCGACGAGTATGGCCAACGGTGAGTGCAGCCACTGGCAGAGAAATTACAGCATCGATTACTACCGTAACAAATGCGCGAATGAATTCGATGAGCAAGAATTGGACAGTTTCATGGAATGGCTCATGGAACGGTTCGTAACGTTGCTTGATTCTCATTGATTTAATTTTCTTCTGTGATCTTCAGGTTTACATGAGCAGATGCGTTGCTCAAAAATAACGGAACAGATGGGATGAAATTAGCAATCGCGCGCAGATAGTTGAGATTAATGTGGCGATGCGAATTTTTATGCTTAAGTTATCGTAGCCCTCAGATAAAATTTTATGAACATAGCGCATTGCAGAAGAAGGAATCGAGGGGCGCCCAAAGAAGGCATACAACTAGCCGAAGACGATCATCTTAAACGCATCGAACAGATCCGAAGTATCTTATTCAAGTGATCTCAATTCGTTTCATTTTCGATTCAAACATCTGATAATCAGATATATTCTGGGAAATGGAACGTTTCGAGAAATGGCGATGGCACTCATTCGATTTATAGTTCATGTTTCATGGATAAATGCTGTTTATTCATTACAAGATGAATGGAACTGATGTTTACAATAAACTCATTCGTAGCATTACACAAAAATATGATCGCATGAAGATAAAAATTATAAAGATGACACTGGGAAGGCTCTGGTTTTGATGAGGATGAAATGCAGGGAGTAGATGAATTCAAGCATAATATAGTGGTGGAAGTGGACATCCATTTGGTAATCGTGTTGTTGTTAAGTGTAACGAATGGAAATAAGGATGGTCAAGTGCCTTTTTACCACGCAATCGTTCATGACTTTCATATCGTAAAATCCTGAAATTAGGATGAGACAAGTCACTTCCCAGAGCTAGCAAATGTATTCCNCTTTCGGTTACATAATCAAAGAGTGCAAAAATTGCAATGAAATGAATGATGCAATGCTAAAGGAATGAAAAAGCATTCAACATTGTTAGAAGAGAATGAGAAATAGTTAAAGAACTTAGAAAAGAATGAGATGAATGTATTGAGCATCAGGAAAGAGAATGAGAATTCATGTGAACAGCATTAGTACTAAGAATCTCTACGGGTCATTTTAAATTTTAATTGAGACTATTAATGTTCCTCACATGATCCGAAACTAATGAAAAATCTACCCATTGACGAACGCGACGCAGTCAGCCGTTATTGCTTTGTTATATTTATACAATAATTGGAACATATCAACTCGAGGGTAAATCTTTCGGAAAATTGACTCGCTCACATAATGACCTGAAATTTATCAAATTATCCGAAGACATCGAATTCTTAATACGGGTTGAATTTGAAGTGCAAAGTTAAGATTCAATTTCAATTTTAATTCCAACAGATCATGCAAGCCTCGAAACAGAGAGATAGTAAGTTGATCAGGAATTCGTCGATATCAGCTCTCAGGAATTGCTTTCGTTTTATTCAAAGTTCTTCACGTTTCGCAATATCATAGAATCGATATTGATCAGACTTTCCGTGAATATACTACAATCAACCTGGAATACAACCCGATAATTGACGCATTGTTGGTGTCCCAATGATGCGGATAATTTTCTTCAACTGATCGGCATTATTGCGACCGTAAAAAATGATTCGATTCGTTAGCAACTCAGCTAATATACAACCAGCTGACCAAACATCTGAAGGAATGTCATGAAAAAATTTATTCTATCGCTCACCGCGAACAGAATCATTAAATTGACAGAGTTGGTGTTTCTATCAGCTATTGAAGATCAAAATCGCCATTTTATAAGTTTTCGAATCTTTTATGAAACTTATTTCAACTGTACAAAAACATCGGAGTTTCAAAAGCAAGTTTGAAGCCACGAATGATATGATGATTCCAACTGATTTGTTGCATGTTGTTTCGGGGAATTTCTACCAATTTTAACATTGTCTTGAGCAGCTTCAACAAAAACTTACCAACAGTGGCATCGTATTTAGTGAATCCGAAACATAGTTCAGGTGCTCGATAATATCTTGTAACTTGATAGGAATTGCTCGTTTCGCCGGCTCGATGCACTTTCGCTGAACCAAAATCACCAATCTTCAACGTTCCAATCTCAGTATCGACTAACAAATTCTCAGGTTTTATATCTCGATGTGATATGCTCGCCCGTTCCATATACGACAGCGCTGACAACGTTTGAAACATCCATAACTAAAATTATCCGAGAGACTGTCGTTGACTGAATGTATTTTCAGTGGAAGAAAAGAGAGCAGTTGATACTGATAAAAACTGATAATTAACTGATTGAAATCACGATCATGGTGCTATTAATAATATCATCAACGGCAATGATGCCAATGATACAAATTCAGAGATTGGTGATGACCTTAACGTAAACTTGTGGTATCAGTAATCCTTTATCGATGAAAGTCGACTGTTCCCGTGCAACTGTTGACGGCATTAAGTCCATAATTAGCGTCCAACTTGCCACTCGCGTTTTTGGATGAACGCAAACGAAATAAAACAAAAGTCTCGCAATATTCGGATGCCTTAAACGGCGATGCACACCGATTTGTCTATCCTTAAATCAACGTTTCTTGACCACTGATAATGATAATGAACTTCTCCCATATGTACTGGTCAAAGAAAACCCATCACTAGTAATTAAGAGCAGGGATAACTTCTATGTCGTTCAAATTTCATGATTTCAATTATTGAAAACTGCAGTCTGGGCATCGTAGAAGTGCATGACAGTGTTTCATGCGAGGAGTGGTTGAAGTTATATGAGTGATCGACCGACTTATCTCATTTGCTGAACTTCAGAGTTCGCCATCAATTCAGAGGTGTTTGAGCGATTTCATAAGAAGCGAATAGGAGCTTTGCTTGAGTGTTANTGACTCACCTCTCTACTTGGATCGGGCCATATCTTCTTGATGGCCACTTGCTCAACATTTGCCTCGGTTTGACCATCACGCAGTGCGAATCCTCGGTAGACATCACTGAACACTCCAGAGCCAATGTATGAGGTCTGTTTCACGGTTATTGTCTCTAAATGTGCGAAGGCATGTTCATCAGAGATCGAAACTAGTGCAACGATGATAACGTTTGATGAATACAAGATTTCGAATCATTAATGGATAAATAATGCATTCATTTGCAACTATCACTTATTCTCCCAGCAGCACATATCATATCTTATTAGAAGATGACAAAATATATTGTCTACGCCGTTCAGATTTGAGACTATTGGTGACTTGAATAAGAGAATCTCAAGATTCAGTGTGCCATCTAAGGGCCGAATCAATCGCATTCGATGACGGCCGAATAGTGACTGAATAATTAAGTAAGATTTTAATAGATATTATTCTAGCTGATCGATGATCATTGGTTGATCAAGCGCTCAGAGGAGATTACTATCATGTTGTACCGGTATTATGGGATATTTCTGGATAAATGGGCAATGCATACCGATGTGATCGTTTTTATCATCGACAACCTTCGCTATCACTTTCAGCTGTGTTACTTCAGTATCTCGTTGTCGTCGTTTATCTACTGTCTCGCATGATCGTTTCGTTTCATCTTGTTGCCGTGTGGCTATCTATATCATGAACAATTT